GATGCCTGGAGATCCTCTACAGAAAAATCTGTATTTATTTCTTACTTTCATTACTGACTTGCTGACAAGCTTCTCTTGCCATGGCTCACCTGCTCTCAGGAGGTCTCTGGCCCAGGCCCTGACACTTTGTGCTGCTGGTTCCTGCCCAGTTCCCCAGAGGTTTCAGAGAATTCCACACTGGTTTGGGTTGGAAGTTCATCCCATTCCACCCCTGCCATGGGCTGGACACCTTCCACTAGCCCTAGCCTTGTTCAACCTGGCCTTGAACACTTCCAGGGATGGGCAGCCACAGCTTCTCTGGGCAATGCTTGAACAATTAAGACTCTCCTGTAAAAATTTTGACCTGTTTGCTGTTTAAGGGCTCTAACAAACTGCCTACAACCATGAAATGTTATAAAAATTAACCACCTTTGTTTATTATTCTACTGTAATATTAAGAGCTTTTTTACAATGCCTGTTCTTCATCTGTGCCCTGACAGACTGATTTTCTCTCCTGCTTTGTTGCAGAGTTTGTATGACACAACTTAAAAGTCCAATCTGTAGGTTATGTCTTTTCTTTCCACCTTTCCTGCTACATTTTTTTCTGTAAATTAGATTATTTTGTCCATATTTTTCATTCCATAACTCTGATGTAAGACTTGTGGATATCTAAGGGAGATGCATCATTGAAAGTCATTTGTCCAGCACTTAATGTTTTGAAGATGCCCCTAGAATCCTGCTGCCAGTTGTGACCAAAAAAATCCAAAACCTCTGGCACTCACAGGGCAATGGTGGCCTCCCCATCTTTTCTTAGTTCCATTAATATAAGTTGTGTTAACTCTGTGAGCAGATCTCTTCAGTGAGATCTGTACTCAGCCACTGTTTCTAATTACTGATGGAATTTCTAATGGAGTGAGATCAGTGCTCTCACTAGTGAGGACACCATGACAGTCCTCAGGTGACTTCAGTAGAACATTCATCCCACAAGAGTCACCAGAACACCCTCCAAGGACCACAGGCAGCTGAGAGGAGGGCCTGGGTATTTAAAGCCAAGTTTCCTACAGAACTGAGGGCAGAAAACCTTCAGAGGCAGCTTTAGATTCTGTAACACCATGAATTTCATAAATCCATCTCCACAGAAATAACCCTGAAATAAAAACTTTACTTTATTAGCCAGAGAAACCTTTAATTAAAATTGAAAAATTAAAAAAAGAATTGCAGAAGTCAATCCAGAGCCAAACTCCTCCACACAAACTTATGCAAAATAATTGAGCATTAAATGCTGCTTTCCAAATAAAATCAAGGCTCACTGAATTAGGTTAAAAAAAACATGTTTGAAGTGGGTCCTTGGCAAACACACACCTCTTCCCATTAGATTTCTCAGCTCTGGCACTTCAGAGCTGCAGGTAAATGTGACAGGCTGGATTTTCACAAGGAGGAAGAAAAATTCCCTGCCAAGAGCAATCTACCTGAGGCTTTCACAAGGACACAGCACCAAGCACTGAGTGAGGACTGATGGGCTGCACTGAGATGGGAACAGCACAGGGAGATGGAACTCAGCTTCTCCTACTGCTGAAACAACTCCTGATCACAGGCATGAAAAATAACAGTGTTTGCTAATCTGTAGGATGACAGAACTTTGCTTGAATTGCACCAAACACAGGGGAAATATAATTAAGATAGGACACAGCATTAGGGTTTTTGACTCAGCAGGCCTAGGTGAGGAAGAAATCTAAAAGGAATAGTTGGAAAAACATTTCTATTTTATGCCACACTAAGCTTGCAATGAATTTTCTGTTGTGTGTTGTACAAATGGCTTTGAAATGTTTTTTGGCAGCAGTGAACACCTCTAGGAAATGTAAAGGTTTTTACATTTTACACTGGCAAATCACCATGTCCTGAGGCAGCTCCCAAAGCAGCCATGACACATGGCCATACAGAAAGCATTTCCTAGATTTCAGCTAACAAATCACACCCACTGCACCTCTGCATGAGGAATACCATGTCCTGAAGCACTAAGCTCACTTGGTTTTCCACTGCCAAGCTCTTCCAGAGATCTCCCAAAAGATCCCCACTGTTTCAGTGTTCAGCTTACCTGACAAGCTCTATGTGTTTGCTGTATAAAAACCAGCAAATCCTACAATTTTTAGTTCACATCATTTTTAAGTGAGCAGTCATTAAAACTTAAACACTTGCTGATTGCTTTAGAATCCATGGGATTGATTGATAATTAATGGTTCTGGCTATCCATAACTACTGACAGAGTGACTCCTGTGCTAAATGCAGAGTGCTCCAAGCTCATTTATTAGTAAGAGCTTCTTTAAATTCAGCAAGAAATCAACAACCAAACTGCTGAGATTGTATCAGTGTGAGAAGACAATGCTGGACAACTCCTTGCTTGGTTTACACAGACACATCAATCATCTTTTTATCCTGATTTATTGAGCTCTACACCAGGAGAGGATCCTTGCTTATCTCCCAGTGATTGTGACACAACTACAGAGCAATGTGGGCACCAGAGATGTCCAGCATTTGGGAAAACAGATGTTGCCCAAATTTGTTACACAGCCTGCCAAAAATTACTGGCACCTAGCAAGGTGTGTGTGGGAGAAATGTAGAATGAGTAAAGCTGCATAAAAAAATACATTTATTTTTTAAAATAATTTGTAGAAGTGGCTTGATGCTCAGTGACTGAAGGGAGCTGCAAAGGAACAAGTTCAGTAAGTGGCAGCTCCCTCCTGGAGCTGAAGGAAGTCATGCAGGGCTGGAAGCTGAAGCTGCACTAACACACATCTCAGGTAGGACAGGTTAATAAAACAATTTATGGAACCTGAGCTCTGAATTTTATACCTTAGAACAAGGCTGCTTTTCCAAACATGCTCAGATTTAATGCAAGAAGGGAGAGGTGCCTCACAGAGAAAGGGATCACAGCAGCCCCTTCCAGCCTGACCCAACACAAACATTCCCAGCACAGCTGCTTCCCAACAAGAATTTGCTACCTCTGCTGGGATTTTTCCAGCACCTGCAAGGCAGGAGTGATTTGTGATGACCTGGAGCTGACCCAAGCCAGCCTCAGCTCTCACTAACCACAGGCAGGGTCTGGGATTAGCTGGTACCCTCAGGATTTCAGATCTGAAGGGACATCAGTGAAATTCTGAGTCACCTCCCCTGGGAGAAGCACAGCAGACAGCCCTGGATGCCATTTTTGGCTGTCACACACCCCACACTCCCAGGACTCCCCTGCACACAGATGTTTGTGTGCAGAACTGTTTCTTGCACATCTGTCATACAGATACTGCACATTTATTACATTTACACTATTTTTATAATTCTATTACACATGTAAACAGGTCTCAGAAGAAAGGAAACAAATTAAGATTCCTATATTAATCCTATTGGGCATTGCAAATATTTCTTAAGAGCCAGGATGGTACCACAGCAGTCTGACTCCACAACAAAGTGTTTATGTAAAATATGACATCTCTGCCACAGGGAACCAAAACAACTCAGGCTGCAAGTGCAGCTTTTCCTCTCCCTTGCATTATTTATTCTCTCCACAAAGGCATCATTGGTTTTTTTTTATGTCACCACAAAACACACTACAAAAAATCCAGCCCTACCTGGTGCTGTCATTACACACACATTAAATTCAGAAAGGCTCAAAAAAGAAAATTAAAATGGCATAATATGAATTTTAGAGATGCTTATGAGACCACTAGGAGTTTAATAAATAAAAAATGTGTTTTCCCTAAAAAATTATGATGTAGAAGATTGTCAAAAAATCACTTAATTTCCTTTTTACTTCTTCAAACAGCTTCCATGTAATTAGTTAATTAGTGTAGCAGTACCTATTTTTGAGGGAGGTGTGTCTTTTCAATCAGGCAGCATTTTCTTTCTGTGGATTCCCAAGATTTCCAATCTCTTAATGAGAAGTGGAGGACAGCAATTTGAACCACCCAGGGGGTGGAATGGGATGGGCTTTAAGGTTCCTTCCAACCCAAACCATTCTGGAATTCCATAAAACAAAAGCACAGAGACCCCTCTCTTCCAGAGGAGGTTTGCAGGTAATTTTTTCCAGCTTTGCTGTACGTTCTCATCTCAGCCCTGCACACATGGATGAATACCAGAATAGCTACAAGATCTCATTAATCAAAAAATAGCTGGAAAGATGAACTTGCAATCCTGGTATTTCCTCTTGAAAAAATGAGATAAATTAGGTGCACTGCCTGACTGTACTTTCAATGAACTCTTCAAATCAACACTTGCTTACCTGGAAACTTTCTGCAATCTCAAAGGTTAACTTCAACAAAAGTGTCAGAAGAGTTTAATTAGAACAAGATGTCTTGAACATAACTAGGAGTGAGTTCTGTGGGCTTGAGGAATACATCCATGACATGATGGAATTTTGGAGATGGATCCAAAGGAGAAATTGGCACTTTTGCTCAGAGGTGAGCAGTACATCTCATTTATGTTCACCAGGCCATGTTCTGCCTTGCCCAGTCCATAATACTCAAATATTAGGATTAGTAAAAAGAAAACAGAAGTTTCTACTCTTGTTCTTTAAATTGCCCAGATTTCTCCTGGCTTTATAAACACAGGCAGCATGGAATAGCTCTGAGTAAAGGAGCTGCCTTTGGAAAGAGACAGAGAGAGAGGAGATCTTCTCACAGCTCTTCTAAGGCAAAGGTCACCCTGCCAAAGCAGCTCACCATCAGCTTGCTGCACAGCACAAGCACAACCTGAGGGAAATCTCAGACACAAGAAGGGAAAGCTCATCTGTTTTGGGGCTGTGACCACATTGTGGCCCACAAGCCCAGCAGATGGTGACTAACTCAGCTGTGTGCAGTTTGCTTTCCCAGAGAAAGCCCTTTTTGTTTGAGTAACTGGCTGCTGATACAATGAGTCACTCAGCTACCTCCAGCAGCAGCTCCACCACTCTAAAAGGAACTGCCTGGGAAGTGCTGAGTACAGAATGAGTGCTTGTTTAGGAACAACCTGCCTTAAATAAACCACTGACTCACCTTGTCACGCAAATGATGCTCTGCAGCCTCAATATTCAAAGGATCGTCAAAATTCAAAAGATCCTGGAAAAGAAAGAGAGAACATTGAGGGGCTCCCACTCACTGCATCACCAGGAGCCCAGAGACCACAGGAACAAGAAAATGGAATAAAGCAAACAGGGCAGCAGGATTCATTTCATCATTTTTTTCATCATTTCATCATTTAATCACTGCCTCGGTGCCAAAGGTAAATGCAAATGAGTAATTTGGTAATTGGAAAGCAAATCACAGAGCAATTAAATGGCAACAGCACCAGGGCATTTCAGCCCTGCTGGTGTGGGCCCCATGACACTTCTCCCTGGAAGTGAAAGTATTTCTAGCAGAAAAGTAAATTTTAGAGAACACTCAAACTTTCAGGAGGCACAATTCCTGTTGGTTTTTCTTAGAGGGCAAAGTAAACCTTGAAAAAAAACTTCTGCAAACAGTGTGCTGATAAAGTGGGAGTTTCCTTAATTCCACCTCCACAGAAAAGCAATTTCATTCTCTGTGAAGAAGCAATTTCACTCTCTCTGTGACCTGGAGCCTGACAGGGAAGCTTTAGTGCTCTGGAAAAAAAAAACCAGGGGAGTGGAAATAGAGGAAATAGTGGAAATAGAGGTAACAGAGTGCAAAGAACTAATGTGGAGACATGGAGCAGAAATAGTCCTAACAAACCTCAGGTCTCTCAGTTTAATCTCAAATATTACCTTTGGAAGAAGAAAGGGTTTACAGTTAAAAACAATGGAGAAGAGGAATCAGCATTAAAAAATAACACTCAATCACAAGTGGTAGATAAAACCAGCACTGAGGGATAAAATAAACAATGGGAAGGATTCCACTGATTGATGAATGGAAAAAGATATTTGCCTTTACAAACAAAATGTAGGTCTGCTGATAAATTAAATTGGAGATTGAAAGAGAAAAGAAACACTGGGGAATAACCCTTAACTCCATAAGAATGAAAAATTAAAAGGAGGGTTATACATTAGAGAGAAATCTTCAGTATCAGGCATTTCAGGAAATCTGTACCTCTCAAGTGCCTCAACCAATGGGGAAAGAGAGAAGGGAAATGTGGCTGGGAAATCAGGATAAAAACGACTCTGCTTGCTCCAAAACTTGACCCATGGCCTCTCCCTTTATTTGAATAAAATAAAAGGACTCCTCTGCCTCCTTTCTGGGCATAAACCTCTGGTGTTTCTGGATTAATTTTCCTGACACAGCCATGACAAACCCCCATGGTCTCCTAGGCAGGACCACCCCCCCCCCCGCAGCTCTTTGCTCAATATTTTGATTTTATGCCGCTCTGCCCCTGAGGATTTTGTTTCCTTCCCCTTGGCATGCACAGGGAGAGTGACTGTAAAATGCAATTCACTTTTGCTGGAAATGCAAATGCTCTCCAAACTTTTACATCAATTTACCAAAGAAATTGTTGAAAAAAACCAACCAAGATTGGATGCCAGGAAATCCAAGCTTCCTTCTACACCCTGGAGTGGCTGGGGTGGTCTCTCCAGAGGAGATGACAAATGTGGCCACCAAGTTGGTGCTGCTCTTTGCCTCCTCCTGACCTTCCCACCCAGCAGCAAAGGAATCCCTAAAAAAGGTAACTTTTGTAAACTTAGCTTCTCTGCACTTTTAGGGCAAAAGCAGCTGTTGCTTCCTGCCCTCTCCTCCATTTTCAAGGTGCTCCTGCAATTACAAGTTCCTTGCTCCCAAATATCTTTAAAAAACAGAGGAGGAAATGAGATCCCTGAAAAAAATCACATAAATTCTGTGACAAGTCAGGTTTTATGCAAACAAGGAATGAGACTGCAGGGCAGACATTAATATCAAAATACAATTTTTTTAAAGACTAACACCAACACAATTCCTTCTCAGAGCAGTATGAATTCCTATTTCCTGCAAATCAGCAGAAGTAGTTTCACACTGTGTGGAAGATCCCAAATAATTTGTTACCAAAATATCCCCTAATATTTCTAACCAAAGTAAAACCCATGTACAAAAAGCTGGCATTTCAGACAGTCTGGATGAGTTCCACAAACAAAAGCACAATCTGACTTTATACTCATCCAACACCCACTGAAGCCAAGAGAAATAAAGACCTAAAATTTTACAGGCAACACACAGGGTTGCCATTAGGTGATGCTGAAACTAAACCAGGCAGGAAAAAGAAAAGGGGACATGCAAAATATTCTTTTACTTACAGTAAATAAAGAGTTTAACCCCCAGACAATATCCTGCAAAGAAAAACACAGTTAGTTAGACAGGCATTTCAGGAGTTTTGAATGTGTTCACAAACTTAATTTTTCCATTAAATAAAACTTAGTTAATCCATGAAATAACTGGAAAAAAATCTAGATTAGGAGTAATGTATGACTAATTTAAATCAAAATGCTGAAAAGGCATTCCCATTTCATGGCCACTTGATATTTAGAAGTCAGCAAAAACCAAATACTGCATATTCAAACAGAAGGTCAGAGCTTTCTGTGTGTATTCCTGTTGCTCCTCCATTCAAGGAGAGGAGGGATATCTTAGGATTTGCCACCAGCTGGAAACTGCACTGCTTAAAGGGTGGGTAATGAAAGTTAATTCAGAAATCTATTCTTAAATTAAAGAGGGGTCAAACTAATACTTGAAACTGTCAACATATCAGAGAAAAGAGGGTGAGCTGTAGTAGGAGTACAGAGAAATACTGTTCTTACATAAACATATGTCTCAAGTCTAAAATGCAAATTTACACTAAAGATAAAGCCTCAAAGCACCAAACTTCCTATGCACAGCAAAGACTTTCAATAACTGAGTGTATGTGAGCTTGTTTCCTGCTCTGGGCCCTGTGCTGAGGGTGTGCAGCACAGAAACCCAAATCCCTTAAGGACCACGTCCAATTATGCCCTAATGAACAAGGCACAATGTCAGCATCCCACAGCCTCTCACCATTCAATTCCCTCTGCTCCTGCACAAACCTACTCAAGTTTAGCTGCTTTTGGCCTGGATTCCCAAGTAAATTGTATTCTATTTGCCATCTGGATGGCAGCTGTCTTCTGCTAAGTTTTCCTTATCTCTTCCACAACACCTGCCGATAACAGCTATTGAATGTCACTGCATGGCTGATAAGAACTAGAACATCCCACTGGGAGATGTGAGCCCAGAGGGAGGAGCCAAGCATTGCTACCCAGATATAATCCAGAGGTTTGTGAGACACCAGCACGGCTTTCTCCACGGCATTCCCCAGAGGAACAGCAGCTGCCTCTCCTTCCACTGGATCTTCAGAGGAACAATACATCCTTCTCTACAGATCCCCCTGCTCCAACAGAACCACCCCTGACACTGCAGGAGGGCTGCAGCCACATTTCCAATGGGACTGCCACCAACAGCCTGACCCACAGGGTGTCAGGCTGGGCTCTGGCTCTGTCAGTGTTGTTCTAGCGTACTGCATTGTTTATTTCATCCTTTTATTTTTCTTCACTATTAAAGAACTGTTATTTCCTGCTCCCATATTTTTGCCTGAGAGCCCCTTAATTTAAAATTTATAGCAACTGGGAGGGGGTGGGTTCATTTTCTCCATTTCAGGGGAGGCTCCTGCCTTCCTTAGCAGACACCTGGCTTTCCAAACCAGGGCACCTGGGCTGCCAAACTCCTTGAGCTGCTGTATCTGGTTCCTGCCCCAGCCTGCCCAGGCTGTTCCCTGGGTGGTGTCCCAGAGGTTTCCCATCAGCTCAGATGTCACCTGTGGCTCAGATGCCTTTGGGAGTCCAAGGCAGGTCTTGGATATACAAATGGGTTTAATTCACATTTATTGTTAGTTCAGAGGAGGTAGTAATGGTGTCTGAAATCAAGATCAAGATCCCAAGCACAGCAGTACCTGGTTAAACCCACAGTGGGTGAGGGGAACATGGAATAATGAGGGAAGCACACTCTGCTCCATGGCACTGCCACCATCCTGGGCTGGAGCATGGGGAAGTCAACACAAGCAAGTCAGAAGTCCAACAGACTGCTGTAAACACCCCTTTAGAACTGCCCCTTTTCATTCTGCACTATTTCTGTGCTGCATCTGAGTGAAAAGTTACACTAAACCCCTGCCCACAGATTTATTTACAGCATGCCAAACGAGGAGAAAAAACCTGCTGCTGCAGCAGTGTCTGAAGTTCAAGAATCCTCAAAATCCTCAATGCAGCTTTTGAAACAGCCTCTCCTGAGGCCAGGGAGTCTCAAAGCTTTGCATTTCTAGGAGGTCTTAACTCAGTCACTGATCTTGCCAAGGGACAGTTCTCAGAGCCACTTCACAAAAGCAATGCCACTGAAACCATGCCACACACAAGGGGCTCAGAAAGACAACCACAAACACTTCTGGAGAGTGAAAGCAAACATGGAAATTGCAAATTAAGATTAAATTAAAATTTTCCAGTTTACCTCAATGTTTTTGAGGTACGGAATTAATTAAGATTAAATTAAGATTTTCCTTTAACAGGCAAAGTATATTTAATACATTAATTGAAGAAGAGAGCAAACCAGACAAAAGAACCTAACAAACTTCCAATCTAAGAAATTCCCTCAAGGGATCCAAGAAGCATTTCTGATCTAACAGACTGAACAAAACAAAGCTTGTTGCTAAACAATTCTTTACAAACAAACAATTTAACCCAGTCAGATGAACAAAAGGAGCAGCAGTCATTTATACAAGCATGTCTGAAGTAAATTTTTTTGGTTTGTTTTAAAAAGGGCTGGAAATGCCACTCCAAAGTCCAGCTTGCTCTAGAGTCCAGGCCAGCTCCTGGGGCAGCTCTCTGCTGTGCTGTCTGCCTATTCACCACCTCAAGGTGGTTTTCCTCCTCTCTTCCTTTATTCTACCATCTCTTAAAAACAAGCCCAGCTTCTTCCTCTCTTCACTGCAGCGTAAAAAACCAAGCACACTTCACCCCACCATACCAAATAATCCCCCATCCCCACCAAAAACTTGTCCTGGGGATCAGAAAAAACGTTTTCCTTCCAGAGACAAACAAAATCTCTTTTTATATTTCCTCTCCTGCTCTTCTTTCATCTTGCAAAGGTTGTAAAACATTGTTTCCACCTAGAAAAAGGTGACAGAGTGAACGCCACCTTTCTTCAGCCACCTCAGCTGTCATGTGCCTGTCACCCCTGCCTGTGCTTCCCACCCCAACACAGCAGCAGCTCCCCCCAGGGCTCTGGGTACCCTCAAAGGCACAAACTGCTCCAGTTAGCAAACACAAAACCAGGAGGGAGGCTGGAAAAGCATTCCTTTTGTGCTGGAATATGGGAGGGGAAAGCAAACAGGAGCAAAGTGCTGTCCCAGAGCAGGGCAGCTGGGAGGTGCCAAGCATGCAGAGCACTCCCATCCCTCACTCTGTCACTGACTCCTTGGCCCCTGTCCCCGTGGTTACTGCAGGACAAGGGGATAATCCTGGGGAAATGGTTCCCTGGGGAATTCTCTGTGACTTTTTAATGATCACAGTGATCCCAGCACTGAAGCCATCACCCTCTGGAGAGCACTCTGCTCAGTGCATTAAAGCTGACACTAAGTGAATATTCAGAAACCAGCAGTGTGGGGAGAACAAGCATGGGTTAATTACAATTATCGCAGCTCTCCTCACTCACATGCTCATAATAACAGCTACTGCACCTACACCAAAAATTTGGCTTTGCCAGGGGACATTAAAGGGAGAAAATAAAAATTTTACTAAGCATTTCTGAAGCAAAAAAAAAATTCGAAGACACTCAGCTCTATATTTTCACCAGCCTGGGCATGTATGGAGGGGAAAGAAATAAATCACCTCTTACAAAACTGATAAAGCCAATTTATAATGAAGTCAAAATACAACACAATATCCCTTTGGAAAAATATTTCCTGAAGCTTATTTTAAGAAAAAACCTGAATGCCAGATCTGCACAGAAGATTGTCTTCAGCAGTTCATAGCTTCTTTTTCAAAATACTGGGTCTGAAGTTGTTATCTGGGGCTTATTCAATTTTCAGAGGTGAGGAAGACACATAAAAAGACCAACTCCAAAAGAGGATTTGAATAAATCAATAGCTGTACAATGTTATCATAATGCTGAGAAAAACAGCCTGAGCAACAAGAATTAATCTAACATAAGGCATGCAGGTTTCTTTTTTCCCTTCATGCTCAAGACAGTGACAGTCACTTTACTGTCTGTTCCAAACACTCCTCTACACTAATTACAGATGATGTTGACAGCAGACCATCTTATTTTCCTTGAGATGATAGGTGAAAGTTTTGTACTTTCAAAACTCCTCAGGCTGATGCTTAAACATTGAGGTAAACAGGGAAAACGAAGTCAGGACCCTCTGATTTATTTGTCCAAGAGATGAGTTTGACATTAGGATAATTCCAAATGAAGTCATTCCAGTGCCTGAAGACAAGGGCAGAACCAGTGAACCAAACAGGACAAAATGCTGCCATTTAGTATTAAAACATTAATTAAATAAGCAAGGCTCCTAAGGATCAACTCCAAGCAGCAACAGTTTACTGGAAATGAGTCTTAATTCCTTTTAGATCAGGTAATCTAATAGCACAGACAGGTATTTATTAACCAGGATCTGGAGTTATGGGAGAGAAATTCCTGAGAAAACTGTGTTTCCTGCAGGGGGGCATGAAAAGCTCTCTGCAGATCCGTAGTTTCAGACTACCTGGATGTTTACTGCTCTCAGGAGAGCCAGGAGCAGGAACACAAAAATGACAAACCCAGCACTTGGAACCACCTCAGTGAAAAACTGAACTGCACATACACCTAACAAACAGGGAAAGGCTCCAGAGAACAGCCCAGCTGATCTCTGTGAGAACACAGCTACAAAAAGAAGAAAAAGGACAAATATTCCCTCTGAACATCCATCTTACATTTTTAAACACTGGTTTTACTGTTCATCTGCTCAGCCCTCCACAGAGCTGCCCAAGTGTGCTTTGATTATTTTTAAGGTCCATCCATCAGGCAGTGATTTATGAACCCATTTCCAGATGCAGTTAGTCAGAGATAACTGCAGAAGGATCCTGACTTTTAGAACCAGTCAGGCATTTAAAATACACATCCACCTGTTCAGTTCTTCAAATCAATCACCTGAGATGTTCTCAGAGCAAAATGAAAACAAGCATTTAGGACAAAACTGAGGAATACTAAGAGAACTAACTGAGCTAGGCAGGTGATAATCCTGGCAAATGAGGCACATGTTGGGGACTAACAGGAGCCACTACAGCACTTTGGAGTTTGAAATTGGAATTACTGAAGCTACAAAGCAGAGAAACAGCAGCAGTGTGAAGTCATGTGAGGTATTTAAAAGCTGGCACTTCCAACATTAAAAAACCCTGAGAACAGAATGGAATTAAAGCCATCTATTTGCTTTCTGCCTGGGAAACTTTCATTTCAACCATCACACCTAAAAACAGGAGAAAAGCAAGTTCAGATGCTCTGAGCAGGGCCCAAAGTAACTGCAGCAGTCTCCAGCTTTGTGAATAAGCTGCTTTGGAGAGGAAAGTGTGCAACAAAATGATGCACAATGTGACAGAATGGAGACTGAAAGGTAAATAAGCTCCTGTTGCTAATTCAGGTTTAGCTACAAAGGAGCAGAAGGAACACAAAAATCACAAAGGAGCAGAAGGAACACAAAAATCAGCTAAGAAGCACCGCAGCAGTGTTCACACAATCCACAGCCTGGAGACCAATCACTACCAGAAATTACCTAAGGGTTTGGGATTCTGGAGTGTTTCTATGAATAAAAAGAAAGTGATTTTAAAAGTGTATATATAGACAGGCTGGCAGGGTAATGTTTGAAACCTGTTTCAGGAGAAGAGCCCAACTCTGCTCAGAGCCTGATTTCAAAACAGCATCTCATGCAGGAATTCAGAAATAGCACATTCTTTATTTCCCTCTCTCACACACAGGCTGCTCTTCACAGTGGTCCATGGAAATGTGTTCCCAAGCACAAAGAAGGGAAAATAGATAAAGCTCAACACTTGGTAACCTGAGGAGAATTCAATCATGGATGAGATGACAGCAAGTGCAAAAAAATGCTGGGAAACAAAACTGAGTTAGGTGTTCCCCTCTTAATAATCCTCCACACTGTAAAAAATACAATTTATCAGGTAAGTTTTCCAGACAATTTAACAGATTTTCATTTTTATTTCAGAAAGTTTTTTCATGTTTCTACCCATTTGATAATAAAAATTATTTAAAAAGTTCACAGTAGTTGATTTTGAAGGATTTTACACGTGAGAGCTCTGCTGTCACCACAAGGGCTCCAAAATGAGACCCAACCAAAAACCTGAGCTTTCTAAAGGGTTAAGCACACAAGCCCCAGACATGCAGCTGGTTTGTGCATGTGTATTCTCTATTTGAATGGCTTCTCTAATGCCCTTGGAACAGTTTTTGTGGCAGGAGGACGTGCCCACTCTCAATTTAATTCTTTAGGAGTAGTTCAGAGTGCTTTACTGGTCAGGCTGGGTGTTATTCCTCCAGAAAACCAGGCTGACTTCATATAATTCACAAATTAAATCCTGATTTTCAAGTCCATAACAGGCCAAGACTGGATTCCTGCCCACAGAGCTTCTGTGCAAATTCTCACTGCTCTCCTTGTGGTGATGGAAAACTGTAAAAAGTGAGCTCACAACTGTGGTGCTTCAATGTTCAAAATTTCAAAATCCAATCTGATTTTTCTCCTTTTGAAGTTAAGCTACTGTTTCCTTTTCTCTTGCTGAATCTTTCATTTCAACAATCACAGAAAAAGCTCATTTCTTTTGGGTTTCTTGTCCACTTGTACTAATTTTTAAGCTTAAAACTTTCTCTGAATGAAAACACAGGGACAGGAACAGAACTAATTAACTTAAATTACTCAGTGTCTTGATTTAACCTGAGGTGAAAACAGAAACACAAAGAGCAAAACAAAATCACACCAACTGATGAAAAAACAATAGGGAAAGAGTGCTTAAGAAAATCCACAAAACAAAACACTCATTTTGCTTCCAGAAAATCACATGCTCACCTCAGCAGAGATTTTACAGATGAAGAAAGTCACAAATCTCATTCACAGTGCCAAAGAGCAAACCAAGTATCAGATAAAGGTCATTTTCAATTTGTTTTTTGAAAGAGACAAACACCTGATGTGTACCCTTTATCCACCTAATGCAGTTAAAGCTCTGCAAGAAACAATTCTGGCAGCATTCCTGGGAACAGCAAGAGGAAGATAAATGCCCTGCTCAGGGCTCTGCACTGATTTTGTCAGGAGTATCAATCCCATGGAAATTACCAGGGTTATGGATTGCTGTTCACAGGATGCTCTTGTGTTTGCTGCCTGGCTGAAAACCAGCACACCTCACAGAGTGTGGGTCCTCAGGGTCACCCCAACCTCCAAAACCTTGGAGCAGAGCAGGATTTGTGCAGTCACCCCAAAATTCCCAAAACATTCCTACAGTCAGCACTGTACCAAAGACAAAAAATCCTCACCTCAAAACCTGCTCTTGAGCAAACCACATCAGCTGATTCTTTGCAAGGCCAAAAAAGGGTTTTTTAAGATGCATTTATTTAGAAGGAAACATCCAAAAGGAAACAGTACCTTTAAGGTTCTAGTTGGGGCCCAGCCAGTGCCATCAATTGAGTGTTCTCTCAATAAACTGGAAAAGAAAAATACACACATTACACAGAGCAACTTCTGCTTCAATTGTCTTTGTCAGAAACCTCACAAGAAACCATCAGGAAGTAATTGCAAGATAAGATCTAATTCCTGCACTATTTATATCCAGGTAATGGAATTTTAAACCCCAGGAGTTGGGATGCCTGCCTAAAATTACCTTCTCCACAGTGTCATTATAGAACTCCCCATCTGAGCCCATCTCTGTCAAAACACCTGAATTATTCTCCTCCAGCAGCACAAGTGTGACAGAAATGCTTCTGACAGGCTCAGCATTGAACCCTTTTTTTATTCCCTGATGCATTTTAGAGCATGTTCATCTCTGGTGAAGAGACAGCCTTGCAGGGTGACCCATCCCTCACCACAACTGGCACAAACCAATCCAAAAAAGGTGTTTTGGGGAGGGAAAGCTAATTAGCAAAGAGAGGATCATCAGCCTCTATTCTGTGGAAGGACTTCAGCTTCCTACAGGTAAAGATAAGAAAGGGAGAGAGTTTTAGTCTGGCTGCTCTTGAGGAAAACTTCCATATAAAAACCATATTAAATAAAATTTTTATATATAAAAATATATATATTAAAAAGATATATCTACATAGGATACAAATATATATCTCTTATATATAAAAATACATACAATATAAAAAAATATATAGGATATAAAATATATAAATACATAAATCCATATATAAATATAAAAATCTATTATATTATAAAATAATAAATAGAAATACTACATTTGTATTATTGTGTTCTATTACTATATTTATAAATATTGTATTACACAAATATATATACAAATATGTATATATACAAATATAGATATATATATATATATAAATAAAATATAACTTGAATTTTAATATTAATATAGAAAAATACAGAATTTCCTAGATGCACAATCCAGCATAGATGTCCCATATTATGGTACATATTAAACCCAATGAAGCTGCTAAGCAATTTGCAAGTGGAAACCATTGAGGTGTTCAGGCATTTCTGGATCTTTCAGATCCAAACCTCAGCAGTTATGATGGGGAGATATATTGGGGATCAGAGCAGAATTGAGAAATAAGCTGAAGTCTTGCTCAGAAAAGTAATAATCTGAATGAAAACAATGTAAAAAACTCCTTGAAGCATCCTTTCACAATCACACCTTCCTCTGTAAGGAGTCAGCTGAAACAACTCACACAGCAAAGCACAGAAATTCCCCAGCAGCAGCAGCTTCTGCTACTGAAATGACAGGACAGGGTTAAAGTGAAATAGCTTAACTCTAAGGTTTTAGCAATTCCCAGGCTGACATGCATTAAGTCATTTTTAAATTACAGTAGGTGATTAGACCATAGAGGTTATGTAGTTGTTTAATGAACATGGCAAGTTTATATGCAAGGAAATTCAATCCTTGTTCAGTGCAGAGATCCCAGGAACAGGATGATAACCTGGACAAGCCCATTCCACCTTAAGTGTGCTGCTCATCTCATTCCTGTGCCTCTCAGAAGACAAAATATGCCATTACCACTTGAGCAGCGTTCAGAATAACATCTTGTGGCTGCAGTTTATCTCCATATGACAAAAGCAAAAAAAGCTTTTAGTCTGTTCCTTATCAAACCGTGTGGCAGTGCTTCCATTTGCCTCTCCATCCACCTGACTGGGAAATTCCAAGTGGGGGGAAAGTTAACACACCAAATAAAGTCAGAAAAATATTCAGTGCCAGAGCACCTGAGCATGAGCTAAGGCTCATGGCCTGAGAGCTGTCCTGGCACAGCCCCAGCTGGAACACCACAGCCAGGGTGAGGAGACACCTGCACCTCTCAGAGCACTCTGGCAGGAAAGCAGGGAACACACATGTCACAGACATATTTTCTGAACAATCCTTTCATTAGGATTTTTCTTTTCTCCTGAGAAGTTTCTCTCCATGTTTTGCTGCTTTGCAATGTGATTTGGAGAACTGTGAATTGTTTTTACATGATGACCAATGACAGCCACCTGTGTCGAGGCTGTGAGCAGTCACAAGATTTTATTATTATTCCATTCCTTTTCCTTGCTAGCCTTCTGCTGAAATCCTTTCTTCTACTCTTTAGCATAGTCTTAGTAGATCATTTTCTTCTAATATATTATAAAATAATCAATCAGCCTTCTGAAATATGGAGTCAAGATTCTCATCTCTTCCCTTGTTCTTAGACTGCTGTGAACACCACTACTGACACAGAAGTGTCCTTTGGCTTCATACTCCTCATTTGCTGATAGGATTTGTTTTTAGAGCAGCACCCTCTTTCTTCTAGAGATTAAAAATTAACATTAAACCCCTCAGAACCTTTCTGAGGGGTTTAATGATCATTAAACAGAACCTTTCCCCAGATCTAAGGAGACCTCCCAGCTTATGATCACAAATCATAGATCAGCCTGGGTTCCATGGGCAGAGTGCACAATCACTGCTTTTGAACCTTCAGTAACCAAAACAGCCCTGATGTGACCAGTCAGCTGCTCAGCTCTCATTTCAGCAAATACCTCCTCATTCTGTAACTCCTGCATGGCAGAAAGCTCTGAGGAATTGTTTTCTTTTTAAATAAAGAGATTTTTTAAAAAGCATCTCCTGAAGTGGAACTGCATGATTGCAGTAAGTGTAAAACCCTCTGAAACTCCAGCTGACCCAACCTGCAGCTTAAGTGACAACAATTTACTGGAAGAAGATCAATCTGGAGAAAACTCCATTTTTTCTATGCACATGTGCAGTGGAGGTGATATCCATTATGGGCCAGACCTAATTAGGACCTGTCATTAATAACATGGCCCAGAGTAACTGCAGTCCATAACATAAAGCACAGAAAAACTCCACCTTTCCTGCCCAGAACTGCTACACTTGACACAGTTAACTATTTAGAATTTTTCAATCCAGGGATGATTATCAAACCAACACACACCACAGCATGAGCTGTATGTGAGGGGAAAGCACTGATGAAGATGATTTTCTGCTTTTAAAAATAACTGCAGCTATTTTAATGCAGACACTCTTGGGTAAGTTGATTGCAGATACTATACATAGAATGCATTCTCTGAAAGCAATTCAGTTATTTTAGTTTTTCCATAGAATGCCAGACATTTCCAGAGTTGGTATGTTGAAGGATCTGACAATCCAAGTGTTTCAGAGCAGATGCTGAAAGAATGCCTCCACTTCATTAGAATTATGATGCTCCAATCACCACATTCATCTTTTATAATTAAAATAATTCCCAGAGATGGAAGAGCTGTGGCTGCCCCATCCCTGGAAGTGCTCCAGGCCAGGCTGGATGGCTTTTGGAGCAGCCTGCTCTAGGGGAAGGTGTCCCTGCCCATGGCAGGGGGGGAATGGGATGAGCTTTAAGGTCCCTTCTAAGCCCAAGCACTCTGGATTTTGTGAATGTGAGGCTTTACTGAGCCCCAGAAGATGCTGTGCTGGAGCTCCAGCTTTGGTTTGGTGCCTGGTATTTATATAAACAGCTCACCTGTTCACTCCTCTACCTGCATTCACAACATTTAAATTTCTTAATTATGAGCCTGACCTGCCTAGGAAGAGCAATACAAAACTTCATTTTCACCAGGACTTTCAACACAGCACTAAAATGACTTTTCCATCTAGAGGAAAAAATTCAGCTTCTCTTTAAGCACTGATTTGCTACACATGGTGACAAGCACACAGGATTTTCAGAGCAGCTTTCAATCTCACTTATGGGCTTTGCTTCTCCTTCATCTGCTTTTTCTTCTGTGTGCCATTAACTTGAGAAATGACAGGCAGGCTTCTCACTTGTGTTTCTGTTTGGTTTCTGGCCAATTTCACCATCAGGTGTTGAGGATGAAATTGCAAAGTTTCACAAATTCATTTGGAAGAGGAAACATTTACTATCAAGGAAAACCACCCAGCAAGAGAAGCCTCTCACTCTGGCAAAGTAAAACTTTCAGGTTTCATTACTGACTTATCCTGACCCCAACCCTGCTTTGTTATAACTGGCACATGGGTCTTAGCAATGGATATTAAATATCATAATTAACATAGAATAATTACTGTCAAATTATTATACAAATAAATATATATTATATTATATATAATATAATATATATTATATATATTATATTATATATTATATTTTATATATATCATGTATTGTATATCATATATATTATACTTTCTTCCTTCCTTTTTGAAATAAAATGAATTTTCAAGCTCTGAACACACTTGAGCATCAAATGGTAAAGCCTCTCTCAGGGCCTGAGGATGATTCAGATATGAGGGAGGGAAGAAAAACAACCAAATACATTTTGTTTAGGATAGAGTTTATATTTTTACCCCATTTTTTTGTTCTACAAGTAAAACAAAGCAAGAATGAGACTTTCAGTAGATCTTTATGCTCCTAAAAGTTACATGTAGAATCAGCACAAAAATTACTGCCAGGACAGTTATATCCAACATTTTATCAAGCAGAGAAACTTCCAAGGTTAAAAAACTCCAACAGAATGTTGTTCCTACCTTAGGCAGATTTCTCCTGTCTCTGTAATGTTTGGGTGCCAGATTCTTGTCAAACATTTTACCTTTGGAGGCTGCCAGGAGAGAAAACAAATTACTGTGTTGTCTTTGAAGCTAAAACCCTGTTATAACTCATAAACCAGAAAAAGGCAAATAGATTTGTATGGATTTGTATGTTCAGGGCAACAATGCATCATCTACAAGAGTCAAAACAGACTTCTCTGCCCTTTTAGCTTTTCTCAGCTCTTCATAAAAACCAGGCTGGTATTGAGATTTTCCTTAGAAAAAATAACTTTTAAGAAAGCCAAGAAAATTTACTCCTTCGGGGAAAACATTCTAAGTCATTCAGTTTCTTCATACTTAACTGTTAAGATAATAATTTAAACCAAAAAAAACTTCACCAAGGCTTGTCCAAATCATGGATTTGTTTAAAAACAGCAGAGGATGCAATGATAACAAAATAACTAATAATAAATAAGTAATAATAAAATAACTAAATAATAAATAAATAACTAATAATAAATAAATAAAATTATTTTAAATACAGACCCTCCTGTTCACAGCTGAATTTGAGGCACTAAAATGAAAAGCCAGAGGCAAGACCACCAAACTTTTGAATGCCATAGTGGGGTTCTGAAGTGCAGATTTTTCAAGTATAATCTCTTTTGCTCTGGTTTTGTGAAGTAAATAAAGAGTAGGACATAAAAATGTCAGTAGCTTAGCAACAGCACGTTGCTGCATCCCTGCTCTCCCCATTAGGAGCTGCAGCTTTCAATCAGGCAGATTATTTCTGATGGGAAGTGTCCTGGAATCCATCAGCACACACCAGCACCTTGCAGAACTTCAATTAAATCCCAGATTAGAAATGTGGAGCCATCTCTCCTTCCACTTTTTCCAATGATGTCTTCAATCAAGAGGCAAAACAGCTCCAAGAGCTGCATTTGCATGGCAGCATCGTGTGGTTTATCTCATTTTGTTCCCAACTTCCCAATGACCTTTTTAAGAAACTTTTTAAATTAAGACTCCTTGGAAGAGGTAACAAAATATGCATGGCACTGAAACACCAAAAACAGACCTAAAAGAGATGATGTAGGAAAAAAAAACCACTGATCACCACAATAAATCTGGGATTGATAATGTAGATTTTGCCTTTCCTCCACTTCATTTCTGTGCAATAACTCAAAGGACATCAGTCATTGAAAATTAAGTGGCTCACAGAAAACACAGTCTCAAACTTTTTGCCCTCCAAAAACCCCTCAGAAGTTTTCCAACAGCACAAGCTTTTCATTAGCCACACTTCCACATTGTTTTGAAAGATGGTGTCTAGTTCTCAAGCAAGGCAAAGCAGCAGAATTTATTCCATGCCATTAGATCAAGATAAAAGAGTAAATTTCTACCATATGCACCTTCAAACAGGGAATGTATTGATGAGTCAAAAAAAAAGATTTATGGAAACTCTTTTAAAAAAATCCCCAAATCCTCACAGTGAATTAACTGGTGTCTCATTTTTTGTACTGTGGAAACAAAAGAATTCCTTTATCCTTTCAAAGTGATTTTCACTGCTGAAAGTTAGAAAAACCCACTCCTGACAGTAAGACAAAGGTTTTTCTCTCCCTCCTTTTTCCCTTTTAGACACACAGGACAACTGCAGCACCACCTTAAAATTTATCTTCAGACAAAACCTCACCTTGGAACTTGTTCCAAGTCATTTTGGAACCCTCCCTAGACCAGCAGATCCAGAGATTTCCTCAGGATGATGTGTCACTTGAAATCTGACATTCTGCATAACAGAGCTCCCCAAATCAATTTATTTCCCTGCTCAAACTCCTCCTTCCCCTCAGACTGCACAGGTAATGCAGCCTCAGCTGGGGGGCACAGCACTGACCACATTCACTTCCTTCTCCATTTCCAGCAGCCACTTCTGCTCTGGGATCCTTTATTTAAAATGAGCAGTTTCAGTTCTTGATAAATCAGCACTCTAAAAGGACAGGTGTACCAACAGATTTTGTATTTGTTTTAAATTATGTATTATTTATGTATTTAATTTGATCTCTTCACTAGTGAATAAATTTACCTGGTGAAGGAATTTGGCTCCTGAGAGAAATCTGGAATCAAAGTTATTTGAAATGTTCTCTCTGGACACCAGCTACTCCCAAAGCATTCTGCTAAACCACCCTGCAACTGCAGCTCCTCTTTACAATTTGTAAAAACAATTTTCCCCAGGAGGAAGGATAGCAGAGGGATACAAGTTTCCCCTAGAGGGGATACAAGTTCCTGGGGGTGAACTAACTCCAGCCCTGAGCTATTTCTTGCCATTTTCCAGCAGCAGTTTCTGCAGAACTTCTCAGACTGGCTGAAACTGAACACTGCACCCAGCAAAGCACTGAGGGGTTTGCCTGCAGGCCACAAGAGCAAATCTTCCAAATTTTTCCGCTTTATTTATGTTATGCTCCTCCACTCCATCCCAATTCCACATATCCAGCCCTGGCAGGTCTGCAGTGCTCTCCTGAAATCACTTGTGTCAGTCCCATTCTGCCTGGCAGAAACCAACCACAGCCTCAGCAGAATTCCCTCAGTATTGGGATTCATACTGCATTAATAACCTGACCACAATCCAACATTCAACCTCCTGCATTGTCTCAAAAGTTTTTATTTTTGTATTGAGGTGCTCAAATTTAAAAATATTTAATTAACACTTGCTGTAGATTTTCCTGCCAGTGCTGAGCAGGGAACAATAATAAACCAGAGATTTTTGAATTATGGGAACTGAGAATCAAAAACCTCAGATCAAAACTGAACTTCAGCACTCCTGTTAACACACAGCAAACACTTTCCTGCAGCAATGTTGTTTGGGTGAACAACTGGAATACAAAAATTAAAGGAAATGAAATGAATACACAGAAGTTATTAAGGGTGACCTCTGCCACAGTATGAAATTCTTTGGTAAAGTTAAGGGGAACTTCAAACACCCCACAACCAAACCCACACAGCTGCAAACACTGCCTGGCTGTGACTGCCACTACTACACACAGCTAATGCTGAATTCAGGCTCAGCTGAGCAGGAACCAAAGATCTTCCCTGAAACTCTTCTCCAGGATCCTCCCCTACACCTTCCTCAGCCTCTCTGCAAGAACTCTGCACTACCAACACCAAACTAAGACACCAAAGCAGAAGAATGTCTGGGAAAACTACAGAACTGTCAATTTTTTCCTTTTGGTCCACTTATTTCATTCTTAGATTTATAATCTTTTAATGAGAATAATCATTAAATGCAGATCTCATGAATAATTAACAGGAAAGAGCAGAACCTCAGCCAGAAGGGAGGACACTCAGGTTTGACTCATCTGCACTTCCAAGAGCTTCTGCCAGAGAGTTGCAGAGATTTATTTTATTAAGAGACAGAAGATCCTTTCTCAATCTCAATGCCAAGTTCCCTCTGAAGTCCTGTTACCTGCAAAGAAAATCTAAAGTGACAACTGTGAGACTAATGACAAATACTCACCACCATATTGTAGGCATCAGGAACTTCAGTTTCAAACTGAAACTTTCCTCCTTGGTAATAGCCCTCATCTGGAAAAGGGAAAACAAGGCAAATAGTTAAATAAGAGAAAAACACCAAGATTAAAACAACAGCACAGGGTTACCATCAAACACTTCAGCTGGTTGCTGCCACCTAACCCAAGGAGTGTGTGAGTATTGTGTCCTCCTGCACTGCCAACATTTCTACAGCAGCAATCTGAAGTCAGGAGAGCCAACAGTCCCAGAAAAATCCAGGATCCTGACCACAGGGATACCCAGCTGGAGGAACCTTGCACTCAACTTCTCACTGTGGGAAGCAAATCCTGGCAGCAGCACCACATCAGTGACCCTTGGAATGAGCTGGAGAAATTCTGCAATTGCTAATGCATTGCTAAACCCTGCTCTAGGACTGAGCACATCTCCCCAAACTTGTGCTTCTGAAGCACTGCTAAACCCTACTCCAGGACTGAGAAGATCTTCCCAACCTTGTGTTTCTAAAGCATTGCCAAACCCTGCTCCAGTGTCACAGACACATTTTATGGAAAATCCTTTCCTTAGGATTTTTCCTCCTGAGAAGCTGTGAGGCCTCAGAAACAAAATGTAACCAATGGTTATCTGCTGCTGTGGAATGCAACAGGTGGGTCTGATTGGTCTCATGTTGGTTGTTTGTAATTAATGGCCAATCACAGTCAGCTGGCTTGGACTCTCTGTCCAAGACAGAAGCTTTTGTTATCATTCCTTCTTTTTCTATTCTTAGCCAGCCTTCTGATGAAATCCTTTCTTCTATTCTTTTAGTATAGTTTTAATGTAATAGATATCATAAAATAATAAATCAGCCTTCTGAAACATGGAGTCAGATCCTCATCTCCTCCCTCATCCTAAGACCCCTGTGAACACCATCACACTCCAGGACTGAGCACATCTTCCCAAACCTGTGCTTATAAAGCATTGCTATACCCTGCTCCAGGACTGAGCACATCTTCCCAAATTTGTGCTTCCCAAAGCACAGCTAAACTCTACCCCAAGATCTACCACATCTTCCCAAAGCTGTGCTGGCAGTCCTGGTGAGCATACAATGCTGTGTGCAAGGAGTTTCAGAGTGCACTTCAAGAAGGGCAAGCAGGTTCTTTCACTGTCATTATCTTACTGTGATGTACTGCTAGGAACACATGTCTGCCTCTCTGCCAAGCTCAGTGCTGAATTATTAAAATGGCTACATTTTCAAATATGACATATTAAAAGATCTACTCGCATTTAAGCAGGGCTAATAGAATGGGATGACAGACAAACTGCAACTCTTGAAACAGCTGTACTTGGAAGCTGAAATGCTTACAAGTGATCTGAAATGCACCTGGCATTGCCATTACTGAGGTTTTTCACTTAAAGAAGGAAACAGGTACCCAGGCCACAGTGGGGTTTGAGACATCTGAGGGACGCTGTGGCTCCAAGCACCCTGAGCACTCCAGCCCCAGGGAAGGCCAGGAGGGCTGGTTACCATTATATCATGCAGCTTTTTTATATTTCTCAAACCAACTCTGCAAAGAATTGTTCTGTGAAACAATCCATAGTTTACACAAAGACTAAGATTAACTTTACTATTATCTGGCTTGTTCCAAACCACAAAAAAAACTGTATTGTCTACTCCAAGTCATCAAAATCCTCCTTCAGGTTGCTGCCTCCTGATCTGCTTTTCAAATCCATTCTCCATTCCCACTCCAAGTCAATTCTGAAGTGAGCTGGATTTATTGAGCAATTTTAGGCATGCTATGTTTTACCAGGAAGTGAAGGGACATGCACTGATTTTTATAGGAAAAAAGCAAGATAAAATCATTTCTCTTATGTTTTTAAATATACAGAGGTAAAACTCAGCAAAGCAAGTCTTTACTGAAGAAGAGGAATTAAGAGGTGAGTTACACTGATAGCCCTTGTTAAAACTGCTCCCTGTCAAATGTGCAATGCCCTCAGAGTGAGACACTGCTCCAGAAAGGAATCCTTGGAAAATGGTCCAATATCCCCAGGAGCTCCAACACCACATTTATCCCACAGAACACAGACAGTTGACTGCACTCTATCCACCATCCAGCACTAGAACACATTTGAACCAAGTGTCACATTGAACAAATTATCACATTTCCAAGTACAAAAGTTCTTTTCCTTGGCTTAATTTCCCTACTTCCTTGATTGGCTGGACTTGGAGCAAAGCATGCAGCAGCTCCTCACATTCCACCCCTGCTAAAATGAAATAAATGCCTGCTGATGGATGTATCCATCTGTGGTTTGTGTCAAAGAAAATCCCCAGGTTTAATGAACACTCAAGAACTTCCAGATCAAGTCTTCCTCCAAGACAACTCAAAATTCATCACTGCCTTATATTACATCCCATTTTATATTTTGGTTTTACCTTGTCACCAATCACTAATCAAAAACTGGGTAAGCTACTGGTTCTGCTATCAAATAAGCAAGGACATATTTACACAATTAGCAGAGCAAGACATCTCTCCTCCCCTCTTTCATACAATTCTGCCTCTGTGTTCTTAAAGCAACAACCAAGCTGCTCATTACCAGTCACTCAAATATATATTAAAAATTCTGGAGAGGCTCAGTGCCCAGCCAGAAATCTTGCACTGCATTAACAAGATAATTCACAATGAAGTCATCTTTCAGCATCTCAAGTAAATAGGTTCTCAGACAGGGAGAGAAATCCTCAATTTTTAAGGCATGGAAAAGTGGTGGGAAAAAAGTTCTGGCAGAGTTAAAGTGAGGAAAGAGCTATAAATAAACCCATCAAATGGAACAGCTTTAACACATAACTTAGGAAGTTGGCCACAGGGACTTTTGCTAAAAAGGGAGGATGTCTGAGCCACAGTTTTCCTCCCACTGCTTAAATTTCTGTCTTCAGGCTGTATTAGCAGAGCAAGCAGCCCTCCCACTTCAGCCTCAAGTTTCATTACCAACAACCTGACTAATCTTAGCTTGTGTTTGTAGGGTGCTTTAATGCCTGAAAGAGCTCTGCAAAACACTTAACCAAATTATTTCCTCACTTTAGAAGAAAATGCAAGATAATTAGGGCAGGCCACAAAGGATGCACTTGGGGTAGCTGCTCCCTGAATCAGCCATGCTCACCAATATTTGTGGGCATTTCACCAGAAAACAGTGCCTTTATTAATCCCCCTAGAGGGGCACTCAAATACCCACACCATGCCCAGACTAGTCCAACAGCCTGGGAACTGCAGGGAAATTGCATTTACTGCACTTACTCTTCTGGGTTTTTAGCTACCTAAAGTCACCTCCTTGATTTTACTCCAGGTCATTCCCATGATTTTAATCCTCAGCTTCCAATTTTGTGCTCCAAATACCAGTGCAGCAAGCCTGGATTCTAAACATCTCCTCATTTTCCTTAAATTTTCATCCAATATGAGACTGGTGCAAAAATAAGAGCAGAGGCAATGGTGGCACCAAGGTATTTTTCAAAGGCAGAACAAATGTTTTAGATGACAAAAGGGAAGAGAAGCTTCAGACAGCAGAGAAAACCAGCAGTGTCTGCCTGGGGAACAGGGAGTTTGTCCACTGCAGCAGAAAAATCCAAGTCTGAGCTATTTTCTATCCACTGATAGTGCACTGCAGAAAACTGGAGCATACAGGGATTGGAATTCTTTCAGTTATATTAAAAAAAAGCAGCCATCCTCATCAAGATTTTCTACAGAATCATTTTCAATTAAAAACTTGCTGTCACCAGGATGATTTTGCCACATTAAACACTGGCTGAGATGTGAGAGGTGCTGAGCAAGGGACCCGAAAGGATTTCTGCTTGGTGGTCAAGTTTATTTTCTTATTCAAATTAGTCTTTTTGTGAAAGCCTAAGGAAGCTTCTTTCACTGTCCTTTCAGGACCAGCCACATTCAAAATGACAGCAGGGAACAAAGTCAAGATTCATGCAATCCTGTTCAGACAATACAAAAAGAGTTGGCTCAAGCTTTAGCCATAAAACTTCTGTGACAACCACTCTGCTGCCTCCAGGAAAAACTAGAGAGAACTTCAGCATTGAAAAGAGGCACAAAACTACAAAGATTTTCTTGGTCTGTGTTCTGCCTCTAGAGTTCTAAACTCTGGCTGATCACAAGATTGTACACCTGAATTATGCACAGCTGAAAATGGCTGTTTACTGGGGTCAGGCTGCAAGTGCAGAGACTTCAGCTGTGCAGTTATATTTAGAGTAACAAAATGTTCATTAAGATCTTCTCATTGGCAAGATCATTGGCACAAAACCCCTGCTCTGCATTCAACAGCTGGTTTCTGCACAGACAAAACAATTCCTAGGATTTAGACACCTTGGAGTTGGGACAGCTTTTTCATACATTAATCATTTGCACAGTGATGCTCTTGTAAAATCAGTTCTTTCCCAAAATATAATAAAGCAGTATCATGTAAAGGGAAGGGCATTTGGTGCAAGCAGAATTAACAGCCACCATGTAAACATGAGCACAACTCCCACACAGAATGACAGGGACAGAGCTCTAGATTAGCTCTTGGGTTTATTTTTAATTACACTGACAAGGGCAGCCTCACTCATTTTTCCATCACAAAAGGGAGGCGCATGAATGGATTTGTTAACAGAGATCACCCAAAATTTCTGCTGGAGGACGGCTCAGGGGGTTTGGGCTAAGGAACAGCAACAGTGACACCTAGTGCTGCTCTGGTATTACAGCGACCTGAGGAAGGTCGCTGGGGTGAGAGAAGGACGAGAATCTTGTTTGATGATCAGAAGGCTGGATTTATTGATGTATGATATATAATACATTATAACTATACTAATAAGAATAAGGAGAGAAGTTGCAGAGAGCTGCTAAGCTAAGAATAGAATAGAAAAGAATCTATAACAAAGTTCTGTGTCCAGGGACTCTGTCCCCAGCTTGCTCCTGTGATTGGCCCTTAATTGTACACATGGAACATGAACCAATCACAGGTGCATCCTATTGCATTCCACAGCAGCTGATAACAATTGTTTACATTCTTCTTCTGGGGCCTTTGCTTCCCAGAAGATGCACAAATCCCAAAGAAAGGATTTCTGTGAAAAAATGTCTGCGACACTCTGGCTCCAAAATGCTGATTACAGAAACATCCCAGGCACTCCATTAAGTGCACAGCAGTTTCTCCAGCTCAAACAGCAGCATAAGTGACACTCCTCACCCAAATTCTGCTGGCAGAAAGCAGCCACAGACAATGGCACCAAGGAGAAGGACCTGCAGGGGACACTGAGCCAGCCCAGCACACCTAACACTGCACACAGCAATGCTCTCATCTGAGCAGCTGCACAGGAACAAATACAAGTGCATGTCAAGTTTAAATAAACTTCCATGCAAACTCATCCATAAAGTACAACCCTTTATTCCAAAATGCAAATTTCAGGTGGCTATTAAGAAATTTACATGGAAATGATAATTTATGAACATGCTGTTACTGCCAGCAAGAGCTTCACAGGATACTCAAGTTGTGTTAATAATAAAAAATCTGATTTGACATATTTGAACAATCAAAGGCTCAGATTGCTCCTTGTTAAGCACCTGCAGGCACACCTGGGTTTGAGGTTTTCCAGCAGGGTTACACTGGTAACCTCTCTCTACACCTCAGCAGAACCAAACAATCAGCACAGGGAACACACAACCTAACAGGGCTGGAATGCCAAAATAAATCAAGGTGGTTTGAAACTGAGAGGAAAAAAGTTCTCAATCCAAGTAAGCAAAACACAATCTGAGTATTTCCTAACCCCACTCATTTTTGAAGGCCTTTTTACTGGAATCTGGGTGTCAAAACTCAGCCCAGTTTCTCCACCTCTTCAATGAAATTATCACTATTGCAGCCAGATCTTCTTTGACTCCAGGCTTCACTGGAATTCCTCTCCTAAACACCAACACAGACAGAAACAAAAGTTACATTGAAAAAAATTACCTGGGGTTACAGTTAGCTGAAAGTAATGGAGCTTGTTTGGGTCAGGAAAATTCACTTTACATGTACCTGTGAAGGGAAAGAATAATTTGCATCAGAAATGAGCTCTCCACAGCTGGCTGCCATGAGGAGACAAGTCTTTCCTGGTTATTTTATCACCCACATTATTCAGCTTTTAGCCTCTTACCCCATCAAGCTGGCTGCTCTTTTTCTGCAGCCAAGGAGCTAAACAGTATCATAGTTATAAATCCTATTGGCCTGAAAAAACCTACCTAGAACTGTACACAAACCTAGTAAAGCACTCACATTGTAGTGACTGAAACCGCACATTCTTCTGGTATTTGTTACCCTATAACAGAACTGAAAAAACTTTACCTAAAATTACTCTCTGTAAATTCTCTATAACTGACTTTAAGGAAGGCTTTTACCTCAAGTAAGATTCCAGGTCTAAAACCATATTATCTTGTCCCGTTTTTTTTTTTGGATCACTCTTAAAAAATTACTTTTCAAGAGTATTTTCTCTATTAAAAGACATTAGGTTACATCTGGAAGTGAAAAACCTGCAGGTTTGACTTCATGTTCCCTGAGAGCTGAGCTATTTGCTGTGCCCCTAAATCAGAATCTCCTGTTTTGAAAATGAGAGAATAAAGAAAAAAAACACAAGTGAGGCACTAATTGCACCCTGGAGTCCCAGGAACCTTTTGGGCACTTGATGAAAGTTTTGCTGCCACTCCACAGCAATTAAAAACTGCAGGCAAATTATCAATACTCCTTCCAAAGGACACTAATGAGAGTCCAGCTCTCCACAGCCTCAGAAGAGGAAGCAACAGAGAAAAATCTGTTCAGGCCAGAGTGGTGGAGCTTTACACAGTTACCAGTCAAAATGCTCATTTCAATGGCCCTTTCCCCCTTAAAATGCACACTATTAAATGTTATACTCACAAGGTAAATTAGCTTCAAGGTCTGCAACCTCTGTTGAAAGAAAAAAGAGAAACAAAACCATTATTTATACAAGCATAAAGCTCTTCTTCAAGTCCAAATTGGCAGATCTAATTTAAACCACCCTGTAAATCCAATTTTATTTAAAAATATAATTAAGCTGCAGTGGAAGTTTACCTTGAAATTTCTCTTTAAGCCACTCAATTCATTATTAAAAATGCTCATCTGCCCTACAGACATGGCAAATGCATCCTCCTTTGATGGGGAGCTCAGCTCTGCCAAGGCTGGCTGCTGCCACACAGAGCCCTGGCATTTCCAAAGCACAGGTTTTGTCACTGATATTCACTCCTATTCAATTAAATTCTCCTTTTATTTATTTCCTGAGCTTAAAATTCATAAAGGAAAGGAAGCATCCTGATGCTGCTGCACAGCCCCTAGGAAATGAAGTTTGGAGGGTATTCCTAAGCCTGCCAAGTCACCTTCCCTGGAAGAACCCCTGCTTTTGTGTATTTTACTGCAATCTTACTTTCAATTTCTTATGAACCAGATGTATCAAGGTATCTCCCTCTTTACTTCTGAAGTCCTAGGAAATAAAATTGAGTATATTTTTGGCTTTTCCTGTGGTCTTCTTTTCCACTTCTAACTTTGCTTTCCACAGACACAGCCCATTTATTTGGGCTGGCAATGTGCAAGATTTCAATACCAACTCTCAAAAACACACATCTGAGGAGAACTGTCACTCAGAATTCCCGGCACTGAATCCAAACTTATCACAACTAATTCTCCAGAACTCCTCCTGCCATCCATGCTCACCAAACCTGGCATTTCTGTGCAGTGGAATGATGTTTGTTTGATTTCCATCTCCCTTGTGCTTGGCACACCCTGCACCTGCAGCCTAATACACCAAGAGCAAAAACCACCAAACCACACTTAGCTAAACAATTCACAACTTCACTCTTTTAAAATCCCATCTTTGCAGCCAGAGCTGATTTAACCAAAGCCAGGCACTGAAAGGCAACACTGGAGCCACACTTTTGCTAAAGAACTGTCTTTCTAGAACACACACACACAAAAATGTAATTTCAGCTGTAATCAAGGACTTTATTTCAATTTTCCCTTCCTGGTTGATAAAAAAAAAGTGACAACCAACCCCTGAAGGCTGCAGCTATGAAAACTTTTCCTGAGACTATTCCCTCACTCTTTTCTTTAAATTCACCAGCCTTTCATAGCAGCACACCAATCTTCACTGCAGTGCAGAGTTTAGGACCTGGTTCAATTATTTTGAAGTGTTGGCTGCTTTCCTTTATTGCTTTCTGTGCTTGTGTGATGTTCACCTTCATGAATTCCTGATCCCAAAAAAAGGGAGATATTTACATGCTCAGTGCCAGCAAGGGCTGAGCTGAGCAGCTCTGCCTCCTGCAAGGTTCAGCACAGAGTTTACAGTCACCAGAATTCCTTTGAGGTGTGAAAATTCCCCGTGGTGTGTGCACACTCCTGTGTTTCTCTCTGCCCTGGCACAGGAATGAGTGGTGTTCTGGTGAAAACAGGAAAACAAAATGCTCACAGCCAGCAAAAGGCAGCACTGTGCTCCTTCTCTGAAGGTGTGCAAACAGGTGGGAATGCTGTGCTAATAACCCCACACTGAAGTTCTGGAAACAAAGACAAATAACCCAAAATTGAGGTTTCTAATGAATGCTGTGCTAATAAACCCCCACAAAACTTCTGGAAACCAAGACAAATTACCCAAAATTGAGGTTTCTAATGAACTCTGCAACAAACCACAAACTAACAATGAAACAACTTCACGAAGCCAAAGAAGATAAAGATCTGCATCAATAATCTGAATGTTTAAAGCAGCATCAGGTAAAGCAAAGAAGTTACTATTAACTGTGCCATATGAACACACACTGGTGATTCACCAATTCACAAGCACATTTAACAGCCAAAGCTCAGTGTTTGAGGGTTTCCCAAATTCTGAGTCTCTTGGTGGTGACAGCAGTGACATTACAACCATTTCTGTATGCTGCTGCTCCCAAAGCAAACATTTGGACCAGAGCATTCAAGCTCCATTGAGATTCTGATGCTTTAACTCCCACAATTTCTGCATAAATCAATACCTCTGACACGAGCATTGTGTAAGCAAACACCCCTTGAGCAGCCTGCCAACCCATTTAACAGAGATTTGTAAACAAGCAAAGCATGGAAACGACAGAGCTCCAATGCACTGAACTGCCAAGAGCTCCAAAAGCTTCATTAAATTAAAGAACAAACTTTTTTCTAACCTATTTCCTCACTACAACACCTTACAAATATTTTTCAACCTATTAACTTTTACCACACAACACTTCTAACACTAATCACCCATTTTTTCTCACAGCCCTACTACAATTCATCTTTCACAATTCTAATTCTCTAAGATACCCAGTCTTTTATAACCTTTATAAATAATATAATATAAAATATATATATATTATCTCTTTAGGTATTATATAACCTATATATATATGCATATATATATATATATACTTATTTTTCTATAACTTTATTTATATTCTGCTTTGACCTAAGGGTGTAGGGTAAAACTACATTATGAATGGCTATGGGTAGATGCCACTTATCACTGACCAAAATATTTATTTCCTACATAAAAGCATCTCCTGTCTGAGGTGTAATGTCACTGTTGCAGTATTTTAAAAGATCACATTTTAAAACTTGTTAAAACTTATTTCTAGTTCAATCTCTCTGAAGAATATCATCTCTATTCCATAACATCCCTAAATCAACACACCTTATCTCAGTGTTAACATATATACAAATATATAAGATACATACAAATATACAATTCTGTATAGACTTAAAAGTTTTAAAAATTCTTTACAAATCCATTTCCCACACAAACCTAAAGTTTTTCTGAGCTCCTCTTGCAAGAAATGACTGTCACTACAGCTGAACAGTGAAGAAAATTCAGTTTGAGTACTTTTCATGGTCATTTTGTGGAGAACCTGCATCTCTGTCCCAATTCATGGCATCAAGATGAGGAGACAAGCAGAAAACCCAAGTGGCAGGAAACATTCAGATTGCAGCTCTTGACCCAGCACACACCTGCTTGAACAGCTCCAAATCAATTTAAACCATAAACAAGGCTGTCACTGCCATATTTTCTGAAAAATCCTCTTTGCCCAGGATTTCTCTCCTGGGAAGATGAGAAGCCTCAGAGAAAAAGGAAAACAATATTAGCTCATTGCTTCCCCTGTGTTTTGCTGCTTTGGAATGTGGTTTGGAGATTGTTTGGTTTCATGGGAATTGTTTTAACTCAATGACCAATCACAGTCAGGCTGTGTCAGACTCCAGAGTCACAAGCTTTCAGTATCTTGTTAAGCCTTCTGTAAGTGTCCTTTCTCTATTCTTTAATATAATATATATCATAAAATAATTAATTAACCTTCTAAGAACATGGAGTCAGATTCATCTTTCCTTCCAATGACAGGGACCCCACAAAATACCACAAAAGGCAAGGCTTAAACTTAAACCCAGCACAAACACTGCAAGAGCTGGATGCAAACAGATTGTGGCTCAGCTTTTCTCTCTTCCATACTGCTCCTGAGCAGCCAGAGTTATTTATAAATGATTTCACAAACAATAACTCTCCCTGGCCATGACAGCTCTCCAGACAGAAATAGGAGCACTCCTGCTGTGTGTACAAGGTTTATGAATGCTCAGGGCACACACCACAACTCCACTGCTCTGCTCCCTCACCCTAAGTCAGAGTTTAGCAGTGCTTTGTTTACTAAGCCTTCCAAAAAATCAGAGTTTGTGCTTCATTTTGGAGCTGCAGTTTGGTGTTAAGTACATCAAATAAAAGCTGTATTTCCTCAAGCGACCATTCTCACCCACAGCAGTATTGCTTCTCTGGTTTTGTTCAAAAGGCCACTCTCCTGTTTAGGTCCCTCTTTAATTTACTTCTTTAACACTTCCAGAGATGAAGATTAAATACCTTGACATTAATAAAAATTCCATTTTCTCAGTATTAATTCTAATACTTTATTAATTCTAGAAATGCTGTTTGCCTCCTAATCCTTACCCAGTTATCTTTACAGCATTCCCTACTTAGCTCCTCTGAACTGTACAGCCCAGTATAAGAATAAAAGTATTTCCTCCTCTCTCAACTTTCCTCACCTGTTTTTGTGAGGAGGGATAGCACTATTTTTAAAGGCTTGAAGGAAGCAAATAAATGGTTTCTCTTACTTTTAGTTACAATGGATGTTCGCTTTCATCATCAGTTTCCCACTTCCATTCTCTCAGGCTTAAACAGAGGCACACACAAAATATTCTCTGGTTACAGAAATGTAGTGATAAAAGCCACAGATATTGAAGACAACCAAGGAATAAACCTTGTTAATTCATTTTCATATATATTAAGTTATTTCAGGTTGCCACAATCAAACTAGGCATATAAATGTGATAATATAAATATAAAAGTGAATGAAGAAGTTTCTGTGCACTACCAAAAATGCAGTGCAAGGGACAACCTTTGTGCTGCCATCCTGGATGCTCTGTACCTTCAATTCCCTTTAGCAGTCACCTTCATTATACAATATTAATCCTGGGTTTGTCCTCAGCCCTTTTTGCATTTCAGAAAGGATTTGCCTTTCAAGCTCAGCACTGCATGCTCACCACGAGGAGCAGTCATGTGGCCCCTGCTCCCAGCTTAACGAAGTTCCCTTGGAGATGAACAGGACATTAAGAATTGTCTCTGCAGCACAGAACAAAATGAAAGCTGCTGAAGCAATTGTGCTGCTTGCTCTATTTTCATTTGGGTACTAGGCTTACAGAATTAGGGCTTTACTCCCCAACTGAGCCTAGATGGAAAAGCAGTGAAAACAGATGAGCAGCTGAGTCACACAGAATTGTGAACAAAGCTGTTCTTTACTAGACCCTCTCTACAGCTGGAAAAGAATTTCCAAATGACTCAGAATTAATGAAACTTGAGTGATAGAGAGATTTCTATTCATAATACATCCATAAAATAACCCAAGGGTCCTGAGACATGACTGATACCTCAATCTGTGACAATGCTGGATATGAGCAGTCAAAGGAACAACTTAAGGAAAAACCAACAAAGGGCACCAGTATTTTAAGAGCAGCTTCTCCCCAAAAGTGGAAGTGAAACAAAGCGGAACAAAGCCTGTTTAACATGCATCCATCAATAAATTCAAGGTCAGTGCCTGACACATTATTTCCAACACCAACTGAGATGTTTCTTCACACCCATAGCACAAATAGCTATCATACCTAATTTAGCACTTATTTTTCCTATTTTCAGTTGATCTGTGCCAAGTCTTTAAAAGTTTGTAAGCATCATTTACACTTGTCAGTGGCTGGGTTGTGGTCATCACCTCAATCAAAGCAGAACTGATCTACTGACCAGGCAGAGGACAAACACAACTGAGGGCTGCAGGGCTGTCAGTGTGACAGCACATCCTCAGAGATCTGTACTGAGCTCCCTATCAGCACAAACAAGGCTGTCTGCAGTTTACCTCCAGAAAAAACAAACAGACACTGCCTGTGTCTGGCCAACAGCCTTAGCAAAGCTGGCAGACATCTGTCTGTCTGCAGGATTTATTAGATGATCCCCCATTTACTGTGGAGCAGGGATAGGACAGTGGTGCCTCACCACTGGCACAACACTCTGGGCCTTTTCCCATCTCCTCCCTTGCTGAAGGCCTGGATTTCTCTTCTTTTAGGCAGGAGAGATTATTTTCTGATTTGTGACCTGATGGAGCTTTTTTCCCTATTCTGCCACTGTCATCTGTTTGTAACTCCAGCCAAATTGTGCACAAGTGACAAGTTCTACTTACTGCTGGCTTTGGGATGCAGTGCAACACCTCAGCGCAGCTCTGACAGCTCCACAGACAAGCAGTGACAGCACTGGTGCTGCTCCAGCTGCAGCAGCATCCCTGCTGGGTGCACACCTGCAGCAGGCTCTGCACTCCTGCCCAAACTCATTCCTGCCATCTTTACATGACCTAGAAACACCTTCAGCATCACAAGTTCACTCCTCTCAGTCTCTGCAGTTGATCTGTCTCAAAGTGCTGAAGCAAATTCTAGAAACTTTTGTAAACAAATGGTTGACATTTAGCTTGAGCACTTAAAAGAGAACATCCCCAGAAAGCCTTTCCCACTGCATTTCCCTGTCACTTCCAGCAGTGACACTGGAATGATCTGCTTCTCCTGTCAGTGCCATTTCAGCCAGAAATCACCCTCAGCACACTGACAGCTCTTCTGGGAGAGCACAGTGATTGTGGTGCTGCATCCCCAATCCCAACCTCTGCCCTGCAATCCCAGCAATTCCTATCAGGCCCTGGCCTTTGCACAAGAGCTGTGGTGAAGGAAGCACTCCTGAACTGCACCAGGAACTCTGCTGCCTGGACAAGGTGGGAGATGGGAGCAGGAATAATCAGTCATTCCCTGAAGGCTTTGGAACATTCCTTAGCTGAATTACAGCCTGACTGAAATGGTACCACTCCCACTTGAGTTTCAGAAAATTCCAGTAATCCCCAAAAGGGATTAACAGGATTATTTCATTGATTCTGGGAGGGAAAATTTTAATATGTATTCCCATGTATACATACATTTCCATACATGTGTGGGTTATCTTTGCACATTTGTGTGTATATCTATATCCATATATTTGTGTATGTGTGTGCATTGACCTGAACACACTATAAAACATATATATCTTATTATCTTGAATCTATACTATGTTTATAGCTCACTAATAATTAATATAACACTAAAGTGCTTTTATGATTAAGTTCTTATAAATCTTTTAGATATAATGTTGAGCCCAAGCCTGAGACTGGGTCCAGCTGCACTGAGTTTAGAAAGGAAGGGATTTCACTCTGAACCTCCTGACTCAACCAAGAGCTCCCTTTACCTTTTCCCCCTTCCTCTTTTCATTCCAGCCTCTGCATGTATCACTCTAAACTGACTCTAATTTGATTTTCCTTTACCTGCATTACCCATGCAGTAAGCAGGATGCCTACCAACCTTTGTTGTGCCTTTGCAGATTTCTATTAAGGCACATTTTCACCAATGCCTTTAATGGTGACTCTCTAAGTGACCCACACCACCCATTTCCATGCACAATAACCTCAGGATCCAGCACTCAATACTTGTCAGAGCCATGTGAGCACTGACCTGCTTTTAACTTTTGTCAGACTGGGACTCATTCAACACTCAGTTTGAACTCAGTTAGTTTAAATACTTAGTTTTACTTAGTTTTTTTTTTTTAATACTCAGTTTTATTTCAATAGCTGGTTTGCTATCACAGCCCCAGCAAATAAAATTACAATGTCAATACTAATTTTCTACAGATTACATTATTTTCCTCCCCTGCACACTTGGGTATGGTTTTGAAAAACATGATTACTCTAAGGACAGAGTAAAATCTAAAATTTCTTTGCCCCCTCACATGAAGAATATTTATTTCACACTGCTATCTCCCCCTCAAGTCTATACCTGTGGGTTAGGGAAAATCTCAGATTATAAATATTTAGTAATTTGGCTTTGTGCTTAGCCTGGTTAAAGAGCTTATTTCTGCTGCCTGAATCATTCCCCCTCAGAACTGAAATGAGGATTTCCAAATTGGAAGGGTAAGAGTGATCACAATCATGATTAAAAGCATGTAAAACTTCCCTGTCCTTAAACAATACAGGGAGAAAATTGTGGATACAACATTCCCACAATCCAGCTGAGGCACTCCCAGTGCACTGAGGCAGCAGTGACACCTTGCTCCAGATATCTGACAGAATTTACCCTAATTTGGAAAAAACATATGCAGGGCAAGTTAGGTAATATCAGCCAGGCAATGACAGCCATGTCAGCCTCAAATCACCCTGGAACAGGAAATGTGGATTTCCTCTGACTGGCATGAATCCCAACAGTGGCAGCTTAAACATCAACAAAAGAGTATTTGCTACTGGAGATTTTCAGCAGAAACTTCAACCTAAACAACACATTCCTTAGCCACTAACATTCAGCTATCACCAGAGGGACTGAACCTGACTTTAAATCCACAGTAACTGCAAGCTGTCAGCACCTATGGATTTTTACATATAATGTTATCTATGCTACAAAAAATAAATTAAGTGCAGGAAAGAGCTGTCCCTGATTTAACAATAAAATAGTTTCATTATTGTCTCATTAAATACTCCATTTACCCACAACTGCCAAGCAGCAGGTCTGGGGCTTTTTTTCCACCAGCTGGTAAAAACCTACAGCAGCCTTCCTAAAACACACCACACTGCAATCCAATCACTGCTTTATTATTCACAACTTCACACTCCACTTATAGTGACTCCAGGCCTAGAAAAATCTCACACTGCACTGCTTTTTAAAATCTTTTTAAAGTGTGCTGCCTCTCACCTGTGCCATTAAAACCCCCAAAACACTGCTGTGACTTTCAGGATGTTTTTTTCCTGTGACAGGCAGTTATGGTTTGCTCAAAAACCACCTTCATACTAAGGCAAATATACTTCTGTTAACATTCTCCTCCTCTACATTCAGTGACATTTATGTGGCAATTTTTTATCATGTTTTAATTGATGATGGACTAATTTCTAACAGAGTAAGGAGGACTAATTTCCAAGAGAGTAAGGGGGACTAATTTCCAACAGAGTAAGGGGGTCATTTGTTTTGATTTTCATTATTCAATAAAAATAAGTGTCCTATTGTCATCACAACGAGTCCCCAGCTAGGTAATAATTGCCATAGATTTAATGTATTGCAGAAGGCTAATAATAATTTTCTTTATTAAGAAACCCATTGCTTTTTTAGACCCTAGTTTGCTACAGGTGGACCTAACTGGTCCTTCAATTAAACCACCATTGGCTAATTAAGAAACCACCCTTTGGTAAGGAAATCTCCATAACACATTCCACATGTTCACAATACCAGGTGCAGCAAGTTAAGGTAAGAAATGTTTATAATACTTTTCTTTGAGCTTCTCACAGCCTCTCCCAGAACGATGTAAAGCGGGAAAGCGTTTATTGCTCTCTGTGACCAGAGAGCTGCTGCAATACCAAACAGATCATTTCAGAAATCCCTGTGGGAACTTACAGGCAATTTGATGCTGTTTCTGGCAGCACAGCCAGAAGCAGCAAAGGCCAGCACATCTCCCTGTGCTCCCTCACCTTTAACGAGCAGCTTGTCCCGCACAGACACCCTGCGAGTGGAGTCGGACGCTGCGCTGGGCGCTCGGGGGCCTCTGACGCCGTCATCCCGCTTCAGCTTGCTTGCCAGAGTTAGCATCACTGCTGCTGCCACCTGCAACACAGGGCAGGGACAGGGACAGTCACCTGGGGCAGGGGGAAACACCTCATGGCTGCTGGGATGCCCCAAGCTTGGCTTTTGTGTTTTCCAGATCCTCTGCGGCTTTAGTGCGTAACTCAGAGTTACACACTAAGTGTCAGCAAGCTCTCTTCACAGGGCAGGCACACACAACAATCCTGTTCCAGCTTGTCCAAGTGATTGTAAAAGATTTTAAAATCACAAAATTCAGGGAGCTAGAAAGAAAGGCTCAGGAGGCCCTGGGAAAATGTTAAGGGTAGGCCCTGGTAAATGTTAGGCCTTGTGTTTGCTGCAGATCATGTGAAACTGCACCTGTGTAATCAGTATTTGATAAGCGATATGACTGTTAGATGTGATGATGATTTAGTAATTAGATGCAATTATTGCTTAGTCATAAGAAGAATCATGAGAAAGGGGTTTGAGGGGGATTATGAGAAAGCCATGCTTGGATGAAATCAATGTATTCACCAGAACACAGTAATTTTGATAATTAATATTTAAGTTATATAGCGATAGAATATAAAACATCGTGATGGGCGTTCATCCCAAACCCACGTTGGAGTCAGACTGGGGTTTGTCTACCCCAGACACCCAGAGCTCCCCAATTAAAGCACCTGCATTAATCATTCCCTGATTATGTGTTACTGAGCAATAACAAGGACAAATGTTACAAGCTCCAGGCCCAAAAAGTACAAACAATGTGGGCTGAAGAGAGAAAAACAAGGAGGGTGGAACTTCATAGCCTCAAGCTGTAATTGGACAATTAACTCCAATGTGCAAATGGAGCAGAACTTATAAAACTTATTAATTAAACTACAGACTTGCAATCTTAGTGTTAGTAATTAATTTTGGAAACTTTTTCTATGGTCTTAGGTCAAATATAGTATTTCTGGGGTCTGTGCACTTCAGCACAGAAAGTTTGAAATTCTCAGTATTTAGGATTCCAACACAAGACCCCGTGACCAGCTGTCCATTTTGTGACCATTTTGGATTCACCTGGGCTGGGCTCTTGTGCTGCCCAAGGTGGATCCACTGAGGAAATACTTTTAATAAATCCCTGCTTTATTCTTTAACTCTGCCCAGCCTGTGTTCCAGGTCAGAGCTGAATAAGGAGTGAAGGATGATCACAACAGGTGAATAAAGGCGGGGATGCCCTCAGCACCTGAGGAATGAGCTTGTTTGGGCTGGGAGCACTGAGGGAGGTGCCAAGAGCAAATTCAGTTTTCTGGAGAGAGGTCAGGCTTGCATCAGTGTTTACACCCCCATCTCACTGCCTGACACTGCTCCTGCTAAAAAACAGCTGTGAAAATCCCCCACTCTCCTGCACACCTCACAGGGCAACACTCACAGCTGCCTCCTGGCTGGCCAAAAGGGAAAAAAGAACAAAAAGGAGGAAGGGGAGGGATTCCTGGAACAACTCTCTGATTAGGAAGTGAGCTTTGAGACAGCTCCCCAGGCACAGGAAAGGGATTAAGGCTGCAAACTGCAATCAGCTGCACGTCTCACAGGGCAAAAACCTGACACACAGAGACCAAACAAGTGAAATGAAGAGTTGCTTCTACTGTGCCAGCCATCCACTCTAGAAAATAACCACACTGCTGAATTAATTACACTGAAAGGTGCTCAGAATGCCAAAGCCATGAAGCCAAAACATCCAATCTGTCACGGCTTCATTTGTTTTGATGCTACTCCCAGTGGAAGGCAACGCCTCCTTCTTGAATATTTTGGCTAAAACCAACACAATGCTGACAAAACCCAAACTCCTTCAGGCCCCCCAGCAGCTAAAATGGGGCTACAGCTACTGCTTATCCTTTAAATCATATTAATTAATTCAACCAAATAAAAGGGGGAAAAATGCAAAAAGCCAGGGTATAATCTTTACATGGAGGTTGAGAAGGGCTTAACAGAAAAGCAAGCAAAAAACCTTAAAAGAAATCATATATTTCACAGCAGTCCCTAACAGCAGGAAACTCTGGTGAGATCTACACGGAGGTCAAGCTCCCCGACGCTGACAAGTGATGTGTGTGTCAGCTTCGAGATTTATGTTTAAAAACAAAAGTACAGCGTGGGGTGAATGTAAAATCCAGCTGGCTCGACCGAAACAAACTGCAAGTTTTACCCCGGAGGAAGAAAGAATAAGCAGAACAAAACAGTCTCTTTTTCCCCGGAGAAGGAAGAAACAACAGCTGCCTAAAAAAAAAAAAAAAAAAAAAAAAAAAAAAAAAAAAAGTAAAAAAAAAAAAAAAGTTAAAAATTTAAGAAAAAAAAAAGAGGGGAGTAGGGGTCTGAAAAGTAATGAACGCGGCCATAAATTAAAACAAAAGAGGGGGAAAAAACCTGAAAAAATACCTGTAAGCCGCAGACTAGCTGTTCCCTCAAAAACACCCCATCTTTTAGGCGCTGATTTCAAAGAAATTCAACTTCGATGAACATTAAATGCCTAAATACCTTTACAACTTGTCCCGAACAAGCAGGAAACCTAAGAGGAGTATGACCAATGTGGAAAAGAAATTACTCACTTCGGCTGCACCCCAAATTTATTGAAACCCAGCAAGAAAGCACTCTCAAATCGCAGGTAAAGCTTTGCAGAGGAGGAAGGGAAAGGAGCTGTGTTGATTTCTAAGGAAGGGAATAAAAGTCCGGGGAATTGTGCAGCTCCCCGGAGCCGGGGCAAGGCACGGGGGCTGTGGGGCCGGGGGACCCCGCCGGGAGCGAGGCCTGGCGGGCCGGCAGATGCGGGGACAGCGGGAGCGGCCAGGCCCGAGCCGGGGGCTGAGTGAAGGGGGACAGCCCTCACGTACCTGAGCGAGGCGTCAGGGCCCGGCAGCCGCGGCCAACACCATCCCCGGAGCCGGCCCGGGGCAGCGGCGGCGGCAGCGGCGGCTCCTCCTTCCCTCCTCTTCCTCCTCCTCCCTCAGCCGAGATCTCGCGAGAGCACAGGCGGGGCAGGGCAGTGCTCCCGCCGCGATCTCGCGAGAGTTTGGCAGGGCGGCGGGGAGGCCGTTATCCTCCGGGAGGGCGGCGCCATGTTGGGGCTGCCGCTGAGGGGCCCCTCGGGCAGCGCCGCCATATTGGGGCGCTCCCTCAGGGCAGCCCCAGTGCCTGAGGGGAGCTGGTGTCGTTGGAATTAGCTGTCCCCAGGCCGAATTTTATCACTTTTTGTAAAGGAAATTACAGAATCCTTACGGTTAGGAAAGATCTCTGAGATCACCGAGTCCAACATTTGACGGATCTTCACTGAGTGCCCCGTCCTTGAACACCTCCTCGTTCTTCGTTTGAGGAACAAGTCATTCCTTAAACACCCCCAGGGATGGTGATCCCACCACCTTCCTGGCGAGCAATTTCCAATAAATTCCTTTTTTTCCTGTCCCCTCACACTGCTGTGAAAGGGAGGCGATTCAGCCACGATATAAATTAATGCTGAGTTTACGGCAAATAGGAACATGCCAATAGGGAGAAAAAGCAGTGATTGTGTGGAAAAACGGCAATCACTTGGTTTTTAAAATTTTAAACGTTTAATCGTAATAAAATGATTATAAAAATAGTAATAAAATCCAAGTAATAATAATTTGGACAGTTTGAATTAGGACAATATGAGACAATAGAAACAAAGAGTTACGGACATCCGGGTACCTTTTTCTGGGCAAAATAAGCCCAAAAAAGGACCCACGTTAACAGAGGATTAACCCTTAAAAACAATAACCTGTTACATATTCATACATCTCATATATGATGCATAAATTCCATTCAAACACAGGATTCTGTCTGGTCAGTGTCAACTTCTTCCTCTTAATCCTAATGGTGTCTTCAGGCCTGAGCGAGGCGGGAAGAATTTCGTTTCTTCTGATAATGGAGCAATAAATTCTCTTTCTCTGAAAGATTCAGGTGTCCTGTGGCTGCTATCTCAATGCAAATCCTTTCTTTTAGAAAAAAAGTTATCCTACACACCATAGTTTCTATTTTAACATTTTGTTATAACCTAAAATTATATTTAACAACACTACTTAAGAGAATTAATACAGCATCACTTTCTAACACAACACATATAATATCCATTTGAATATTTGCGAAAAGCCAATCATAAAATACGCATTTTTCACAGATTGTCAGGGTGACTTCAGGAGCAGAGCTTAGCCAGGCTGCAGTGTTTGCCTTGGTTAAGCCAAATCTACTATTAATTAAATCTATTATTAATTAAATTAATCTACTAATCTACCCAAATTACTCTACTATTTCTACATTCCAGCAGCAGATGAATGGAAGACAAGTGAATCAGATGGAATAGTCAATCAATATGTCAATAAGATCAATATGCAACAGTCAATTGTGAGAATCACAACTCACTATTTAAATATTTTATAAAAGTTTATTAAGGGATAAAAGGGATAAAATCCAGTGCTGAGGTGTTTGGCTATTTGCCAAAATAAACAAATAAATAAAAACTTAAACCATGCTCTCTATATAGTGTTACATTACAGGGGATACATGCATATTCATAAGAGTTTATACATATTCAAACATTCCTTTGAGTTTAGATTTTTTTTGCTTGGTTTTAACCTTTGACTTGTGCTCATGCTATCTTGTAGATTAAACTAATATATTTTATTTCTTCTTGTGGTTCCATTCTGTTGTATTTTCACTCCCTGATAATGAGGGTTAATAAATTCTTTTACTTGGTGCTCCGGTTTCTGTTTCTGTTATCTTGTCTTTCAGATAAGATAGTGCCTAATGTGGGAAATCACTTAATTATTTTACACCATTTTCTGAGCTAGTTACATGTAAAACCATTTTAACATTTCACAGTCTATTATGCTACAGTCTAAGATAGTGTATATTACACTACTATTTATAAAAGCTATACGTAAATGACAGATTATACTACATCAGAAGCAGTAATTACAAATTGCACTATATCAGGATTTTTGTGATCAATAATAACTTGCAAAAGCTAATACATAAATGCGAAAGCCAATAACTTTATTTGTTATTTCTAACATCAATCACATAGAAATATCAATCATATAGAAGCACAAGTCCATGTGATGGAATTTGTGTAAAAAATTATCATTAAGAGTGTATTTAGTAATGGAGAGTGAATACTTGGGTATTGTAACTAGACTGCCCAAAAACTTGAAAAATTTTCACAGTTCTGTTAAAGCTGTAAAACAGGTGCATAAACTTAAGTTCTTCCACTAAATAAGGGAACCAAAACTTAGCCATGAAAGCAGCACCCAGCTCAGAAGGCAGAGCTGGAAACATGGGAATTTTGGCAGACAGCTACTGAAATAAATACTCGCTGCAACCTAAACATTGACTGCAGTGATACCACTGCCCCTTCCCTAAACCAAACTGGAACTGAGCTTACTGAAATCTGCTTAAACCAGCACAGGGCTGCTGCTTAGAGCCCTTTTCTTCCTTCTCAGGCTTTTCCCTCCAGATCCATGTATCGTTTGGATAACCCAGCTTTGGATGTCCTAGAAACATCCTCCTCTCACAGCTGCTGGCTGTAGGTAGGGAATCCCAGAGAGGGATTTCTCGCAAGCCTTCAGAAGCCAGGGGTGAAATTGGGAGCAGGGCCAGGAGGTTGTGGCTGCGTTTCTCTTCCAAGGATATGTTCTGGGAATCAAAGCAAGGAACCTCAGAGAAAGAAAATACAATTCTTATGTCATTTGCTGCACCTGTGTTGTACCAAAGTGAAATGCATTGTGGAAGGATGTTTACCTGAATGCAATTGGCGATTGGATTCTGGTGTGAGTGTTTTGATTCACTGGCCAATTGTATCCATGTGTGTGTGTCGGGACTGCCAGCCGACAACCACGAGATTCTGGGCAGCTGAGTGCTTGGCAGATTCAGCTTAGATGTAATGTAATATAGGGTAATATTATATAGAATAATATCGTATAATAAAGTAATTAATTAGCCTTCTGATAAGATGGAGTCCTCATCGTCATCTCTCCCCTCGTGGCATCTCCCTGCTGGGAGCCCCAGCTCACAGAGCAGAGGTTCCCGCGGCCCGGCTTTGGGGAGAACCAGCTGAGCCCCGCCGCAGCCGAACCCCGCATTCTATAGGAAATTCCAGCCGCGCCCTCGGGGCTCTCCCCGCCCTTGGGAGGTGCTGCCCCAAGCGCTTTTCCCTCTGGAGAGGTTTTCATTGCCCCGGGCGCTGCTCCTGGCATTAGGTGGCAGCACACGGGGCGCGGCCGAGTGACAGAATCTGTGAAAGCTCTCCAGAAAACCCAGCATCCCACACAGGCTTTTTTCCTCTCCCCGCCCCCCAAAATAAACGCCACGAGGTTCCTTTCGGGCAAAGTTCTTGCAAGGATGTGCGGGCGATACCTGTGCTGTGGTATTGCAGAAAAGCATACTAAAAACACGTGGCGGCAGCTTATCCGCTTATGGTAATTTAGTTACCTACTTTAGTTTTCATATTAAATAGCACATAAGAAAATAACTCATACAAGCAAGTATGCAGAATACACTCTTTAATAAATAGCAGGTAAAAAAATAGACCTCCTTAAAAACATTTTAAGAACCAGAAAAACAAAGGTACCTTATAAATACGCATATTCACGTTCTTTCAGGAAGGGCATTACCCGAGCCAATAATTTAAAAGACCATTAAAAAAAAATAAAGAAAAAAAATTGTTTCCTCAGCTCGCATGAGTGAGAAGAAGGGTTAAATAGGTGAAATAGGTTAAATAGGAAGTAACAGCGCAGTGCAGTCGTTTTTTCCCGGTTCTGGGGGCGTCCCTGAGAGGCGATGCTGCGCGCTGGGTCCGAGGGCACTTGAGCCCTTCAGCACCTGAGCATTTCATCACTTCAGCACTTGTCCTGCAGGGCAGCGCAGCGCAGGTTGTCCAGCACCTGCAGGACGTGCAGGATGGTGGTGGCCCTGAGGCACTCGGTGCTCTCCTGCGGGGCGAGATGGGCTGGGTCAGCTCTGCAGAGGCGCCTTTTGACGCCCCAAAAGCCCGCAGAACCCCGCCGGCCTGACTTACCGCTCGCATGGCGTTCTGCAGCTTGTGCAGCCAGTGCCGCAGCCTGCCCGAGGGCTGGTGCGAAGGATCCACCTGCAAGGAGAGCGGCCGGGTCAGCAGCGGCCCCACAGGGCAGAGCCGGCCCGCAGCGCTCGGGGGAGGCACTCACACAGCCCTGCACGGCCTCCCGGGCGCTCCTGAAGAAGTGCAGGGGCTCCCGGCACAGCTCGGCAAAGCCGGGGGCAGCGGGCAGCCCCAGCATGGCCGTGGTGAGGTTCAGCTCGGCCGCCACCAGCAGCACTCGGTCGGACATCTGTGAGGGAGAGTCCTGGTTAGGGATCCGATTAGGAGGATGGGGTCTCACAGACCTGCCCGGGGGTGCAGGTGGAGGTGGCAGCAGCAGACAGGAGTGCTGTGCCCCCTTACAGCATCACCTCGCTCTTACCGGCAGGTTCACTGCATTCCATTTGCGGTGGAAGAGCTTGGTGTTGCATTTGTGGGTGGTCACCTGCAGGCGTAAACCAAGAGAGAGACTGAAAAACTCTCATTGTGACTCCTGGCTATGTTGGACAACCCCAGCCAGCCTTGAGGGCTCTGAAACCAGGACAAAATCTGGCCGAGCATTTCCTTCATGTCCCTGAACAACCTTGGAAAGCATCTTGCTCATCCCCAAACTGCCGCAGAAAACATGCACCTTGTCGCTCAGGTCTTGAATTCAGCATCCCCTGTGCCTTGCCCCCTGCCAGCCCACAGCCCCCCGTTGCCAGCAGTACTCACAAACTCTTGTCTCATCCTGTCCACAGCGTGCCGCTGCTCGGGTGCAATGCTCTGGTACTGGGACAGCCTGCAGCCCTTCCCCGGGGTGTGGTGGGGAAAGGCAGCCCCCAGGCTGACCCCCAACACCAGCACGAG